TGAATAGAACCGAATCTTGTGAGGAAATAGACGACCTTAAAATTTGCAAAATGTTATAAGCATAGTTTATTCAAGACTATCGTGTTTAATGCAAACATTGTATCTTCAAACTGTATGCTTATCGAGATGAGTTATCATAGGATGGAGTGTCATATGACTCATATGAGCCTACAAACTGACAATACTTTGTATTTACTAGAAATACTTAAAAACATGTCTTTTAGTCAGAAAGAGGATCTGTATATGGGCTTAAGGAAATTCGGAATGGCATGTGACTTTTCGAAGCATTTCAATTAAGCATAATATACCAGTATAAAAAATTCTACGTTGAGCTTGGTCTACACATACTATTAGTGGTCATACTGAATTATATTTTTTTAGCAAAACAGTGCATGGAAACACGAGTCAAATTGACATAACTTTTATTATTGTGGTTTTCCTGAACGGTGGTGTTACCTTGTTGTCGCTTTTCTGCCTCATAATACTGCCGAACTTTGATCCGATCCAGTCGACTACTTATTCCTTTTCAGGTTCCCAAGATCACAACAATGAAAGCGAACTTGCGTCACGGTGTAAATAGGTAAACTTCAGATTTAAAAACAATTACCAAATTCTATGTCCGCCAATAAAAAAAAATGAGTTTCCAGGTTTCCATCTGAATGTGGGATGTCTGGCAACCCTGGTGCATGAGCGGCAGTGCTACAGTCTAACCAGCGTTACCAGTCAACGATTAACGATTGTACAGGTACCGGGTAGGGATACGGAAAACAGAGTAATCAAATTAATCATTTTGTGCTCGGATCGGTACTCGTTACTTCGGGTGTCTATGTGGAGTGTGGAGTGGAGCAAACTCTGCCAACTGTCGAAATAAGCCTTATAAATTCCAAGTCTTATTTTTCTTTTACTGTGCCTGCTTAGATAATCAAGGGAATTATTAGCGCCTGGCTATTTTAGGCCTTCAATAACTCCTTATTTTAGATCTCTCCTTATTTTGTTTTTTCCACGCATTCATGGTAGAAAGAAAAATATTTTATCGAATATCGATACCGTATACCGTGCAGCAGACACGCCCATCACTACTTTGACAGATTGCAGAATGATGTCAAGGTGACCATCGTTATGTGGCAGTTGTTTTTGTTTTTGTCTGAAATAGGCAAGTAGGCTTTGTATATTCATTTTTATTTTTTCCAGAATTTCATATTTCTACACGATGTCAAGGGCCGGCAGGGGAGAATCTTTCTCTATCGTCGCCATCCCTATATTGTATCCTCACCAGTCACCAGTCAAAAACCTTAACCACCAATATTTGATCACTATTTATAATTCTTTTTAGCTCTTATTTTTCAGTAATTACTAATAATGGTCTATGTCTACAGGAATTGCATTATGCACCTCTGAGATGTAGGGATTAACATGTTTTACACATATCGATGTTTTAGGATGGGGACGACCATACTGTTTTGATTGCTTTGAAGAAATTCATTAACCAATGAATTTATAACAAATGATTACTATTATGATGTAAAGAGAGATGAGGAATTGGTTGCAATACATTTTATATTCTATTTTCTTGCAAATCCGCACAATTCAATAGGTATGTGTAGCTATAATGATCACATATACACACATTATATTGAACTTAACAAATTTCGAGATTGCCATGAATTAACAAACGACCAAACCTGCTGCCAAATTTAACAGCTAGAAAATCGACCTATTATTTCTCCCATTCCCATTCGCTGAGGGGATAACGGATAGTCAAATGTACACCTATAACATAAATCAAAATACATGAAATGTTGGTGAAATCCGCCCTTACTGATACAAACACCTTATAAATACTATTATGTCCGTGCATTTATTTATCAACGATTAACGTTACCTTGCAGACTAGCTAAGTATGTTCGCCGATACTCAGAAATGATTTTGTTCCATCGTTATCGTAAATCATGCTGTGAGGAACCAAGGGGTTTTATTCTAAATGACTTTGAATCGTTTAAATTAATTTTGACGGCGACTTGTAACGATACATTTCATTCGCTATGATAATTTTGACATCTGATTATATCGATCTTCTACAGGGTCCGCCAAAGGAACCTGATGAGTTTCAATATGAAACTACAAATGTATCTTTCAAGATATTTATTTTCATATATAAGTAATCGAAAGTGTATTACATGCCATTTTATGTATGGAAAATAACTTCGGACAAATGATGTCCTTCACTACGGACACACTCTTCCAAACGGTTTCGCACATTTCCCATTACGCGCTGTACCATACTCATCGGAATCGCGCTAATTTCATTGCGAATGTTTTCCTTCAATTCTTCAATGGTCCTTGGGCTCGTTAAATATACCTTGCTTTTGAGATAACCCCATAACCAATAGTCACAAGCCGTGAGATCGGGAGATCTTGCCGGTCAAGGAACATCTCCATTCCGCGAAATGACTTTTCCGGGAAACATTTCTCGCAGTCGAACCATTGTTGCTCGTGCTGTATGCGCTGCGGCGCCATCTTGCTGAAACCATACAGTATTTAAATCTATGTTCCGTCGACGAAGCTCTGGTTCCAAAAATGTGTTTAACATTTAAAGATAACGTTGCGAATTGACCGTGACAGAATTTCCAGCATCGTCCTCAAAAAAATAGGGTCCAATTATGCCGAATCGCGACACTCCGCACCAAACAGTAACCTTGCGACTATGAAGGGGTCGCTGGTGAAGTTCTCTCGGGCTTTCTGCACACCAGTAGCGAAAATTCTGCTTATTTACGTAGCCTGATAACTCGAAATGCGCCTCATCAGACATAATTAAGCCACCTAAAGCGTTTTCATCCAAAAGTTCCAGAAGCTGGTTGCTTGCAGTCAAACGGTTCACAAAGTCTTCAGCTGTCAGTTCTTGAACCATCGCTAATTTGTAAGGGTGATAATGTAAATCCTTATGCAAAATACGCCGCACTGTTGTTTCTGAAAGCCTTAGACTAATTGCTTGTAGCCTAGCTGAACGACGTGGACTTTGCTGCACCGCTGTTCGCACCCTCTCAATATTGGCTGGAGTCCGAACTGTTCGACGCATTCCTGATGGCTTACCTTTCATTGCTGATGCAGATCGATGAAAATTTTTGACCCACAACTTAATTGTGTTACGGCATGGAACAGAACCATGACTTCCGACATTGAAATGTGTACGAAATAGACGCAGTGTAATGATCACCGAGTCGTGATTTTTAAAATACGTCTCGACAACAAATGCGCGATGTTCACTTGTCCACAGCTCCATGACTACTGAAATGGCATCTACTACCGATGTCTTGCCCACTGTAACCGATGTTCTACGTCAAAAAACAGCTTCGTACTATCCATTCTGAAAACGTCAGGTTCCTTTGGCGGACCCTGTATATGGCGCCATCGAAATCAATTTTAACTCATTTGAAATCAGATCCCCGGTCTCTCTCGGCTGTGGTAGGTCGGTAGGTAGAAATTTTCTACTACCGCTAGGAAAGCAATGTCCTTCTTGGTGACTTTCCTTGTCGTCTCCTCGATGTCCCTAGCCCTCATTGAAATATTTAAATATATTCGATGTGCTATGATTATTCAGATGAATACGGATAGATCATTTGAAAGAGGCAACATACAAAACTTGATTTTTCATTTGATAACCAAAGCAAAACCCTGTGCTGTGAAAATTCTTTCATTTCTCTCAAGCTTTACAATTGGGTCCATACTATCATTTCTGGGATGGACGTTGATCATCCCTGCCGTCAATTCATTAGCGAAGTGAGTGCGAGATCTACAAATTAAGTAATGACACTGGATTTCTTCAATTTTTTTATAATATAATTAGGATTTTATATTGTCACCGTCAGAGTAACCTTCTTCTGAATCTACTCAGCGCTGGAGAGGGTTCTTCCACCCCTCGTAGCCTTCAGCTGGTAGGCTACAGCAGTTTGAATATTTTCGACTGTCCCAAAATAAGCTCCCTTGATTGGTTTTTCAACTACGGGAAGAGAAACAAGCACAGGTCACTCGCCTAACTTGAATAAGGAAGCTGAGGAGCCACAGTCTTCTGCTTCGTCATTGATCCTCAATCGACACTCTTCCTTCTGAAAATGCCTTAAACAACCTGAGCTTTTGAAACAACACGATCTCCGTAGGCCTGTTAAGTAACAGTTTCCGTCTGAAGTAAAGCCCAATAGCACACTGTTGCTTGAAATTGATACCACTCATTTTTAGAACACAACAGAAACAACTGTATCAAATCGCTGCTGCGGGCCACCAAACTCGACCGAGTTCAGACGTGTACTGAAAGCGAATCACATGTTCCCTGTCACCACACCTCGTATATTTTGGGTGATTGTGCGAGATATTCTGAAACTGGAAAGTTTCATTATTATCATATGGTGAATATTACCTACCTTCTCACTTCTGTATGATGTACTTACCTTCCCTTTTTCATTGTAATCCAATAAAAACGACGTTTAGTTGGAAAGGTATTTTATGGTCAACGGATTTTGCAATAACACTGTTGAATTTTACATGGTTTGACAACACCAACTGACACTCTGAAGCATCAAATTTAAATTAGCTGTGGTGTTACCGATGCGGTGAAAATAATCTACATCGAGAGGTACAGAATTTGAAATATTATACCGACACAAATTACGCGCAGTGAAATTTATGGCGGTAGTTACAGAATACCAGCGTTAATATTGAGCTTTAGAAACCGTAGGAGATACGAAGTCGATTGAACTCGAGGTTTAGCTATAGCCAATTTTTACATCTGCATCTATGAGTTAGAGTAGTCAACACCCAAAAGCTGTTACGATATTGCGATATTTCTACGCGCAGAACGAAATCGAAAAAGAATTTTTTGTGTATCGGACTTCTGAAAAGGCATTTTTTTCGTCTATGAGCTTAGTACTGAATAGTGAAAATAGAGGGATGTCTTTTAAGTTTTGCATACGGAAATAAAACAACACGGTAGGTAGTTTTAAATGACTTTATTGTTTTTCTAAGTATTCTCCACGAAGATTAATACACATCTGCATGCGCTCGAACCAATTTTCGAAGCACTTATTCCACTCGTTTGCTGGCAGATCAAAAACGGCATTTTTGAATGCGTCAACTGCTTCTTCTGATGACTGGAACCTTTGACCACGCAGTCTGTTTTTAATTTTCGGGAAAGTAAAGAAATCGTTATTACTTAGATGAGGACTAAATGGAGGATGGTCTAATAAGTCCACGTTTTCTTCCGTTAAATACTGCCTTGTTTTTTGGGATGTGTGCGTGCTTGCATTGTCTTGGTGGAGGATTATTCTTCTTTCGGGGTTGATTTTTCGGAGCTCGGTGATGACTTTTGGCAAACAAATGATGGTATAACATTCAATCAACTGATTGCTGAACAAAATGCGATTTTTTGCAAAAATTATACATATTCAGGCACTCAGTGATGGTATTATTGCCAGCCTGCAATCTAAGCTTCAGGAATATTTGTATATATCTAAAAGGTTATTCTTTATAAACCCTGTTTGTAACATTATCAGTCATATGTTAATCTTTTATTTTTGACCGAGGAGAGCTGAGGAATTGACACCCTCTCACTGACCATGGTCAAAGTAAGTCTTCCCGTAACTTTTTTCCATATCACCCACATAATAAATTCATGTTTGGAAAATGGCTACCACCCTAAGCTGTGGAAGCTGGCTCTAATTATACCTGTCCCTAAAATATTTAAACCTACTGAACTTAAACATCTTAGACCCATTAGTTTGTTGCCGGTGCTATCGAAAATTTTGGAAAAAATTATACAGCAACAAGTTGTCCATTACATAGAGGAATGCCATGTCAATCGGGCTTCAGGAAGCACCATAGTACCACCTCGGCACTGTTAGATCTTTGTAATAATGTTATTAGGGCAGTTGACAAAAAGTTTGCAACAGCAGTGGTATCAATTGACTATTCCAAAGCATTCGATCGAATAAATCATAAACTTTTGTGCGCCAAGCTGAGGTATATAGGCTTCCTGTGCTCTTTTTGATTTACACGTGTGACCTGCATAAAGCATTTGACAATTCAGAAATACAAACATTTGCTGACGATACTCAAATAATATTCCATTTCGACGCCTCAGATACGCAAAATTCATCAGACATTTTACAGCTTGATTTAGATAAGGTACATCAGTTTTCTATGGAACATAATCTTACTATTAATCCAGATAAGACACAAGTGTTATTGTTTTGTTCTGATCAGAAGAGGAAAACTGTCGAAGATTCTTTCCATCTGACTATTGATGGCATAACATTACAGCATACTCAAACAGCTAAGGTACTAGGAGTGGAAATTGACACAAAATTAAGATTTCGCAGCCAAATAGCTAATTTGATGAAAAAAACTTACCTGGATTCTAGGGCTCTTTATTCCAATCGCTACTTGCTTGACTTAAAGCTGAGAAAAAAACTGTGCGAATCATTGGTGATGTCAATGCTCAGTTACTGTGATGTCGTTTATTATCCATGTTTGGATCAATTGACCAAAAATCGTCTTCAAATCATCCAAAATAACTGTGTTCGCTTTATTTATGGGTTGCGTAAATACGATCCCGTAAGTGATAAATATAGGGAATTGAACTGGCTTAGGTTAGGAAGTTTGGTTAAACATAAATTCTTAGTTTTAGTTCATAAAATAATATTGTCATCAAAGCCTGAATATCTAAGAGCTAAGTTAAGATTTAATTACGAAGTGCATGACTGGGCTGTTAGGAATCGTTATAGTATCAGAACCACCCCACACACATCTGCATTATTCCAACGAGGATTTACATATAATGCAGCAATATTTTATAATCAGTTGGACAACAGTATTAAATAATTGATGTCTTTGGAAAGTTTTCGTAAACATACTAAAAGCATGTTGCTCGCTATTGATTAAATACGCATTTCTGCTACAGATATAGATTGTCTATTTGTATTTTATACTTAGGTATATATGTGTTCTTTTTTTCATTGTTCTTATATATATTTTTTCCATGTTTTAAACATCAGATGTAACCGACATAAACAGTTAAGTATAAGAGTAGCCTTGGCTAAACTTCGCTGTTTATGTCCCTCCGGGTTATCCAATAAAGACGTTATTATTATTATTATTATTATTATTATTATTATTATTATTATTATTATTATTATTATTATTATTATTATTAAATATCTGTAAATGTAATTTTGATCAAAAATGTATTTATCTGCAGTCCTAACAAGATCTAAGTAGAGAAAACACCTTTTCTCTAATTTTTTTCAACTGAAAGAGCTCTGCCCTGCCTCTCGCATTGGATGAATGTTGACAGTCCTGTGGTACTATGGACTGCGAGATTCGCCGCTATGTCTAACTCATATACTCTATTATTTAGTATAATATTCTCAGCAATGCGTTTAGGTACTTGGCTATCCGTCCTCAGCAATGGGTATAGGACCAACACTGTAGCTATGGTGCATCTTAAAAATTCCAGACACGGAGTCGGTTATGTAGTTTATAGGATACAGCGCCTGAATACAATACGGGCTCATAGTGAGATATACATTCTGCTTCCTTTTATTTCAGCAACAGCTGCAAGCAAGTGCTGGACATACAAGGTGTCTACATCTTGTAAGACGTTAGTTTTGTAGAGAAACTGCAAATTGCGTCAGTTTGAAAAGTTATCTCATATAACATTAATATTATAGGTGCTCGTTATATACTAAGCTACATATAAATCCGAACACCCAGTTTAAATGGTTTTATTTTAATAAAATTTTGTATAAGTACTTAATGAAGCATAATAAGTAAATGATAAAAATTTCAAAATGATTGCACTGCTTTAAAGCCCTTTGACCTTTAATAATGTGTGGATGCACTCTGATGTGCTACGCATTCTCCAACGCGCCTAGGCATGCTTCTGATCAGGTGGTCAATGTCCTCCTGTGGTATCTCATTCCAGGCAACGACCAACTCCTCTCGAAGTGCTTCTAGAGTCTGAGGAGGACGTTGCAAATTGAGCAATCTCCTACCCATCATATCCCACACGTGCTCAATTGGGGATAAGTCGGGAGATCTTGGTGGCCATGGTAACAATGTGACATCATTATGTTGAAAGAAGTCTATTGTGACTCTTCCAACATGTGGTCGGGCATTATCTTGTTGGAAAGTTTGATCTGCCAGGGTGTCTAGATAAGGTAAAAGATGGGGTTCTAGAACTTGGGTATAACGCTGTGCGTGTGTTACCTGTGATGAAGATTAAAGGTGACCTGGAACCATAAGCTATAGCACCCCAAACCATAACTCCAACAGTGTGATGAACATGTCTTTCAACAAAAAAAACTGTGGATTCCTCCTTTCACCACGTCGCCTTCTAACCCTTTCACGACCATCGTGCATGCCTAAACAAAATCGAGACTCGTCACTAAAGACAATACTGTTCCATTCCTGATCCCAGAGTGACCGTTGTCTGCACCACTCAAGGCGATTACGTCGGTGTTCTCGAGTTAAAGGGAGGACCCAGTGTGGCCGGTATGAAAACAAGCCAAAACTTCTCATTCGTCGGTAAACACTTCGCATGCCAATAGGTCTTCCGTGTTCTGCAAACCATTCATTTGCAATGGACCTGGTAGTAGAGAAACGGTCCCTTAAGGCCAATAATCTTAGGCGGCGATCTTCACGGTCTGTTGTTCTACGGCGGCGTCCAGTGCCCCTTGCTCTTTGCGAACGGCCTTCTCGAAGCCATGCCTGACAACACCTAACCACAGTGTCTACACTTCTTTGCACTCTAACTGCAATTGCCCGAAAAGAAAGTCCAGCTTCCCGAAGTCCCACTATACGACCCCTATCAAACTCACTAAGTTGACGAAAACGTACAGGTCTCCGTACTCTAGGCATCGTAACCGATCTTAAAGGATGTCAAGAACCAAAATCCGCCAACGTTGATTCTTTGCTGCGGCTGAAATATTCATTTTTAGAGCGTTAGTGAATTAAAAAAAAGCAGTATAAAAACCGGAATGTCCAACTGATAAGGCTGAAAATTTTTTCACTTTTTATTTACAGTAAGATAAATGAATTCACCAACTTTTATTAAAATAAAACCATTTAAACTGGGTGTTCGGATTTATATGTCACTTAGTATATGATGATTTATAATTTCCAATGTAGCTACAGAGTACTTTCATGGCAAATCAAGCCTGCGCCGGCTTCTAAGAGCTCAAACTTTTCTAGCTTACCACACCAGGAGAGACATTCTTCCAAAGGGTAACAAGAAACTCCACATATGATTTTTGGTAACATTTTTTTTTTCTCTTTATGGAGCATCTTAAAATATGTGGAAGATACCTCGGGTTCGTATAAATCACAAAACGTATGCATCTATAGGAGAGCTACGATCACTATAAGTGCTTGAAGAAATCTAATTGATAGGAATTTTAATCTGAACATGTTATAAATGAAGTGAGAAAAACCTCTTGAGATACATAGGTTAGTACTGGATAGTTTTCTATCCTATATTAATAGTAACTAAGTCATATTGCTTGTTTGAAATTTTCGAAAAGCAATGTTATTGTAGAAAAAGTCTTGTAAGTTTCGGTTTTCATATTCATATACCCATCTCCCTCACTCATACCCAATCGAAACTGGTGAACAGTTGCTTTTCCACATGAAAAATTTTACCCAAATTCAAATCTCGATGTTTTATTATTATTCTTTGAGAATACCTACAGGGTATGTTTTTTTCATTTATCCAGGGTGAGCCAAGGAATCCATGTTTTTTAGCGAACTTTAGAGTTATGTAAGATTCTCAATTTTTGACCTTGGGTTTTGTTGTATGCTTCCTTTTGATCTTTGGACTATCCTAGAAATAGTGATACCTTAAATTTTTTTAAAGTAACTCAAGTTATCGAATTTTTTAACATCCCGCAATAAATTTCTTTCGGCTCGACCTCATTTTTTTTTTGATTACCATGTCCATGCAAATAGTACGTTTCACCGGTTTCACCCTAAATGCCTACACCTCAAACATTCAATTTCTAAGTAACAATAATATTGACTGTACACTTGACAGTATAATTTTATTTTCTCAGAAATGCCTTTTCTTTTTCAAAAAGAATGAAATTGTATAAGATTACTGGTAGAAGGTCGTTCAATGAATGATGCAGCTTTAATTTATAATGTTGGTAGGTTCTCAATAAACCATTTAAGGCGTAGATATCAGGACACCAGGGAAACGTCTTATTTGCATGGAGGAGGCAATCCAAAAAAAAAACGTGTCGGGCCAAAATACATTCATTGCAGGAAGTAAGGCGAAGCGGGACCCTTTATCCAGAACCTTGAAGGAAAACTTACGGCGGCATAGTGAAGTAATAGCATCCAGTCCTACTATGAAAATTTTAATTTGTGGTGTGTGAATGTTATGAAATTTTTTTTAAATTAACATTTCTCTAGGCGCATGTGGTTTTTTATATGCTTTCCACAAGGTTGGAGCTCGGCAAAGTTGACCCAAATAATAGGTCTTTGAAAAAGATATAGAAATTTCACACCCTACGGCAGTCTGTCAACTCCTGTTACTACAAATATTAACTTTTTTTGGATTTT